CCCCCAGACCCCCCCAGGACCCCCCAGACCCCCACCCGCGGTGCAGATGTCGAAGTGCGTGCTCCTGTTGACGGCGTTGCCCAGCGGCTCCAGCCCCGGGCCCGAGGCCGTCACTCGCCCGGCGTCCCCGGCCGCTCGCCCCACCTGAACCTCGAACGGGCTCTTGGCGATGTGCTGGCCAGCAAACAGCACCGTCACCTGCCGGGGGGACCCCAAAAATCAACCGGGGAACCCCAAAAATGAGGGGGGGGGGGGAACACACAAGGAGAGACCCCCCCCCAGGGAAAAATCACGGGGGAGCGAGGGAGATGGAGACCAAAAATCGTCCTCAAAAATGTCCGCAAAAGATCCTAAAATGTCCTCAGGACATCCCAAAATGACTTGGGGACCCCTCAAAATGACTTGGGGACCCCCAAAAATCAACCGGGGACCCCCAAAAATGGGGGGGGGGGGAAAGAGGGAGAGACCCCCGGGAAAATCCCAGGAGGGGAGGGGGATGGGGGGGAGAAAGAGAATTTGGAAAAAGCCCCAAAAATGCCCCAAAAGTGCCTGGGACCCCCCCAAAATTCACCGAGGGACCCCAAAAAATGTCTCGGGAAGCTTCAGAAATGAATTGAGAACCCTGAAATTAATCGGGAGCCCCCCAAAATCCATCGGGACCCCCCCCCCAAATTAATTGGGACCCCCAGAAATTGATGGAGATCTTTGAAATTTTCTAAAATTGCCCCAAACCAATCGGGACCCTCCCCCCAAATTAATCAGGACCCTCCTCAAAATCAATCTGGGACCCCTGAAATTAATCAGGGACCCCCAAAATTAATTGGGGACCCCTGAAAAATTAATCAAGGTCCCCTAAAATTAATTGGGACCCCCAAAAACAGATGGAGATCTTCGAAATTTTCTAAAATTGCCCCAAAGAAATCGGGACCCTCCCCCCAAAATTAATGGGGGACCACCCCAAATTAATCAGGGACCCCTAAAATTAATTGGGGAGCCCCAAAATTAATCAAGGACCCCCCCCCCAAAATTAATCAGGGCCCCCCCAAACCTTGTGGACGCCGGTGACTTTGGGCACGTAGGACACGGAGAACGTTCGGTTCTTGTCGTTGTTGGCCACGACCTTGGCCTGGGGAGGGGTCCCGGGTGCTCAGCCCCCTCCCCAAAATCCACCG